AAATATTTTAAGGAATAATATAATGAAAGATATATATATCAACATATTCCTACATATGCCAAACTCATTAAAAGTCTTTTATTTTTGACAAAATCAACCAATATTCTTCATAAAAATTTGGGCAGTGTTTGAAATAAGTCTCTTTATCAGTATTATTATAGTGATTTTTCAAAACACATGTAACCATACTATGCAAGAAATTTGCCAAACCAATGTTCAAAATAAGTGGGGTATAGTAACATATTTATTCATATTTTAAACATTTTGAATTGAAGCAATTATTAGCATGTATGATTTGTTAGTTAATTGTTATTGTAAGTTTCTCAGCAATAATCAGTAGGAAAACACTTTTTATAAGGGTCATATTACAGGTTATTTAGAGATTTCTTATTTTGCAAAGGAGCACTTTGGATGTCTAAGCAATGCCTGTAAGTGTAAATGTTGTTAAAATTATGCATACAAGTGTCTTTCATAGCATATAACACAACTATGGAGTCAATTTTATCAGTTTGGTATATATTTTATCATATTCTGACTAATTTTCTGTGTAAGTGGCTTAAGATTGTTAGAGCATTTTCAAAATGTTCAAATACTTTATTGTAAATCTGTAGCAGTGCAGCTATAAAGGGTGTGACAGTGCTATACTAGGAAATGCAAGCCATAGTTAGAATTGCTATACATGGTCACTATTTAGAAGATGCTTTGACATTATTTAAGCAAATGTATTCTGTGTCTTTTAATTTTGAGCTCACATGAGAAAACATTTAAGGGCAAGCTATTGTGATCATCGGCTGTCTGTTCTTCATCTTGACTCACTATGACCTATTTCATTGTCTTTGAAGCTACACGAGTAATGTTTAAATTAGAAATAAATAATTACATATGGATTTATTTCCACAACTCTTTTTTATTACCAATTTGATTTTTTTTTTCAAATAAACATTCATCAGCTGTACATTAATTTACACCTAGATCCTCAAACTGACATTCAAGTTCAAGATTGTTATTGCATACACAGCAGCATTTAAGTAGTTTGACTGTTGTATTGAAGCCAAAGAAATGATTGATCATTTCCCGTTTGCACACAGTTGTATTTGTACAGTATTCTTTCATGTCCTTTCTCATTGCTCTGGGAGCTAAATCCCCTCTGTTGAAGTACAGAATGGCCTGTGCATCCTTACCGGTCCGTCCAGCTCGTCCAATTTCTTGAACATAGGCTAAAAAGACAAGTTGTAGTTAATTATATATATATATATTTATATACAATGTATGTATAGATGTATAAGCAACATTAAAAAAATAATCTGACAATGCCACCAGTATTTACCCAGATCATCAATTAGTGACAAGTTAATCAAGATCAGCCTGTGCGTCTGCTGATAAAATGCTGCTTATCTAGATCCTTAAAGTTGCCAAGATAAAACATTGGTGTTCTCATCATTTGGCTAATATAACTTTGGCCATGAAAAGAGTATACGATATAGAGGATATTGAATGAGTGTAGGTTTAATACTAAATTTATTGAACGAGTTGAATAAAATCATATTATGCGAGCCTCTGGCGAGCATAATATTGTTTTATTCAACTCGTTCAATATATTTAGTATTGAATCTACAGGAATATAATATTCTATTTATCACATATATAAAATAAGAACGGTAAACTGTTAACAAGAGTCATTTTTCTTTGACGCGCCTATAGTGTAACGCTAACATTAGCGCGCTTTAACAATATGTTTATAGTGCAAATGACTTACGTCAAAGTGTTATTACACTAGTGTAATATCGTCTAGTGTAATATCGTTTTTATTAAATGGCTTTATTACACTCCTGCGCCGCGGTTTATGTGATAAATGTATTTAATTGCAATTATACTAAAGTGAGCGATAAAGGAAAATCTTGATCCTCTTTTGTACTACCTCTAACCTGTTATTATGTAATATCCATGCTAAATGTTTTTTAAGCTTAGAGTTTGTTTAATCAGCACAACCATAATGGCATTATCAAGTGAGTTTTTAAATTGCAAGTGAGAATATATAAATATCTGACTTCATTGTGAGATAATATAATATAGAGCGAGGTAAAAACAAATCAATGCCATTTTCAGTCTTACATCTCATTGGATAATTTGGTCATTGAAATAGAAATACTGTACCAAATGATGTTGACTTTTTTGACGTTACTCATAATGTCGTGAAATATTTATCTATTGTGTGTTGCATTTTTGCTTTGTTTTTGGATATATAGAATGGGAACAGAACATCAATATTTCTTACTTTTGGTATGAATTCTATAACAATGATTTTTTTCAGTATTTCACAGAAACATATTTATTTGCATTTCTTTTGTATTTTGTGTCAAAGTGATAATAACATTATGAAATAAGTCAGAAGTGTTTTCTGTTGCTATTGCTTAAATCAAAGTAAAGTCTCATAAAACAATTTTAGTCTTAGTTATGCTGCATTATAATGCCATTGTTTTATTTGATCAAATTCCTCCAAGTACGAGTATGAACACAGTGCATGATACAGGAAATTGTTTTACTTAGAAGTTTAAATATACCAATAAACTTAAGTTGTACTCCTGAATTACATAAGTACAGATCTAGTGTTACAGATAGTAAATTTTTCCAACATAATATTAAATGTAGAAACAAATATACTTTCTAGAGAAGTTGGAGGACCTGCATGGATAACCCTCTGAACATGTTTAAGGTCGGCTCCCATACCTAGTGCCACAGTTGAAAAGATGAGTCTTATATGGCATTTTTCATCTGGTTTCTGCAAATTAGACAAAATGGCCTCCTTCAGCTGAAATTTTGATAAAGTACTTTTTACTTTGGTTTATACAGAATATATTTTAGTTCGATTGTGTAGGAAGCTATAAGCTTATAGACACACTTTCAAATCTGTTCCTGGAACCAACGAGTACTGAGCAATGAGTGTAAAGTTTCTTGCTCAAGGAGACGACTTGCCCTGGAAGGGGTTTGAACCAATGTGGTGCAGCTAGCGATCATTAGATTACTTAGTTAACCACTCGGCCATGTGGCCACTTTTACTTAATGTTGAAAGTTGGTGGTTTTAGGTAAAACAAGGATGATGGAAGAATGAAATGAAATTGAAGAAAAGAGAATGAAATATTCAATAGAAAGTGTAACTTACTTTTCCAGAATCTTTCTCCATTGAGGAATGGAACATAACTACTCTGGAGTTTTCAGATCTACTTTCACCAGAATAGAAATATTTTCCTAGTATTTGCCTTGCCTTCTGGTAACCATAACCAATCCACTGTAATGATTTGCAATAGATGATAGTGATAGGGAATTTTTCTAATTTCTTCATCATTTCTTCCAATATTGGATTGAAGATATAATCATATGGTGTTTCTGCACAGTTTCCTTTGGCGTTTGGACTTGGCCTACTTGAAACTAACAGGACAATATTGTCTTTTGCCGGACTAGCACACACTGAAGTAAAGCTTCTCATTAAAAGGTTATCTCTGATCTGCTTCTGCCCATTTTCCGTCACAGTTGCTGAGAGAGCTAAAATTCTGCATTTCAAAACAGACCTAATTTGCCCAAGGTTTTTGAATTCAGGTCTGAAGTCTTCACCCCATTCTAATATGCAGTGTGCCTCATCAATTACCAGGTATACACTGATGTTTTTTTGTCTGAAATTTTCTGATGTGAAATAGTCATTGAAGACTTTGTTGTTAAGGACCTCCTCAGGATGACAAAATATATATTTCACCTGACCAGAGTTTAGTGGTGTTAGGTCCAACTTCAGCCGCATGGCCATATTGCCAAGTTTTTTCAACTGCTGTTCAATAATAGCATTGAGGGGAACAACCACAATTACCAAACATGCTGGTTCGATAAATGGCAAAAGTTCATAGGCCAAGGATTTTCCATACCCAGTTGGGAGGGAACAGATGCAATCATTACCACTTAAAACTGCCAAAATTGCATCTGTCTGTTGCTCCTTTAATTTGCCTATCTGTAGACCAAATGTCTTATTATATGACACCAAGGCATCAGAAATATTTGATTTATCCTGAAAGAAGACAAATAATTTGTAACAGCTAGAAAATACTACTACAAAGAATTATAACCATACACTCCCTTGTGGATATTTTTTCTGTATTTAATAATGAATGTCTTTTTGGCCAGAAATTTAGTTAATAAAGTGCTTAATGAAAGAGTCGGTCAAAAGCTAAACATAGCTTATGTTTTGTAAAATGTTATATATGTATACCGACAATTAATAAATTTTGATTTGATTTGAAGAGTTAAATGATGTAATTTATAGCACAAAAATCCTATATTACTGTAGGCCTATCCCTTATTTATCTGAAAGTAATAATGATATCAAAATATTCTTGCTATTAGCCAGGGTTGGGATTTGAACCCAAACCTCCAAAGGAATTTCACCCAAATGGTGTTCTTACATTAAACTACCCTGGCTGTATATAGCTGAATTATAAGCCCCATAAAGTCTGAAAATTAAGCATTTTTCCCATTCCTATCAGCTTTTATGAATTGATAAGAAATCACATTTGTAGTAAATTTTACCCATTATTTTTGATCATCAAAAACTGTACCTGTTATAAGTTGGTCTAAAGTAAATATAATTATCATATACAATGAAGTGTGTTCAAATCATGTTACTTTATTACTGATTCATATCTTTCTTATCCGAAAAATTGCTTGTCCGAATTTGATATATTCGATAACATTATTATATTTGATTAACCAAAGCTGATTATGGAAGAAAGACATAACCAGTAGAAATTAATTACTTAAACTATACTATAACTACCAGGAATTTCACTTAATCATTTTTTTATTATGTTTGCAATAGATACATACACCACTGGACGCGGCCATTGTTGACGGTTGCCTGACGTACTAAAATTTATAGTACGACGGGAACCAGACTAGTGTGTCGAAAGGATTTTCGAAATTGTGTAAATATATCACGCTGATATTTCGCGTGTTGATAAAAATACTGTTATGTATATGATTTGAAAGGAAAATGTTTCTATGTAACTTTTCACGGAAATGGGCTGTACAATGATTGCGTAAAAAGCCAATAAAATGTCGGCTGTAGAAATCGAAAGGAATTTTGTCACGTGACTTTTGCCCATGCTACCGAAAACTACCCATCACAATATCACGGCGTTGAGACGCCGTGAAATCATTGCACTCAACCATGTAAGAGTATGATAACCCCTGTCCTCAATGTCAAAAATGTAAAGTTTGAAACAATTCGGATAAAAATAGCGGGAAAAAGAATGAAGCGATGCATTTTCAAATTTACATTGCAATTGTTTATTAGTTTATTAATAAAACTGTAATAATAATTGAAGAGAAATATCAACCGGTTTCACCCGTTAAAGAGATCTTCAAGATAATGACGTTAATAACGTCACTTGGTTAAAGTTATTTTGAATTCAATTCTGGTTTTAAAACGTTTATTAATACAGTTTCTTTCATTCTTCTTTTGAATTTGTCTAGATCTCGCATTTTATAGATTGGCATTATATTAAACTTTGAAAAAAATATCTCTGGCGCAAATACGACCATATAACCTGTCAAAAATCTTTTTAACTTATGATCTAACCTGTCAAAAATTCTATAAATAATAATATAACCTGTCAAAAATCTTTATAACTAATGATATAACCTGTCAAAAATCTTTATAACTAATGATATAACCTGTCAAAAATCTTTATAACTAATGATATAACCTGTCAAAAATCTTTATAACTAATGATATAACCTGTCAAAAATCTTTATAACTTATGATATAACCTGTCAAAAATCTTTATAACTAATGATATAACCTGTCAAAAATCTTTATAACTAAGGATATAAACAGTCAAAAAGCTTTAAAACTAATGATATAATACTCTCGAAAATGCCATAAACATGTGTTGACAGTATGTTTGTATAACTCATATGCGCAATGTAAAAATATATGCACCTCCATGCCATTCCGCTTTTAATTAGTCAGAAATCGGCACGGGTATATAATAACATGTAGACATGTTGGCGTAAGACCTAGATGATTGGACGCCATATTGAAAATTTAAAGAAAAAAATACAAAAAAAGTAAAATATAAGAAATAAGCATTTTTGACTTGAAACGGAGACTCGTGTAAGGGTGTAATAGTTCCCGGATAAGAGACGTTTTCGGATAAACGTGTATCAGCGGCTGACAAGAGTTTGAATTGAAATTATATAACTTTACATGCATCCATATTATGTTCATATGTTTATGTGCTTGTAAGTGTGCATATAGTCTGATAATAACTCGGTTTGATACCAGCGATAACACTCCAAGTTTATTCAAATCAAAACATGTGTGTCGTACACCCAATAATGATGAACTCTTTGATGTTTACCCTAATAAGATGCTAACAGATCTAGACACTGCATCTTCTGCTGAATATATTGTGTCACCGTATCCTGTTTACACCTAGGAGAAAAAAAATAGGTCTGAACCTACCATAAGTGATATAGTCTGTGACACTTCCATAAAGAAAGTCAGAACAATTGACAGAACAAAGTGCTCTCCTACATCCCACAACAAATTGTATAATGTAGCGTCCTCAAATATAACGGATGCATTAACAAATCAAACTAGTGTAGAAGTGTGTGAGAACATCTGTGTAAATAAAACAGTTGATGTTGGAAGCAATGATACAGGGTTTAGAAATGAAATTTTGAACTTAACAAAAATGGTCCAACGTTTAACTGAGAATCTTGACTCACTAACTGATAATATCTACAGTAGAATGGACACACTTGAAAATTCACTTGACAGCAAAATAGTGCATAAAATGGCAGGGGTAATTGCAAACGTATGAACACTGAAGCAAAAGATATTCGTTAAGAGTGTGATAATACAATACAGAATCTAAAGGATGACATTCGGAAGGATATCTCGGAAATAGAAGCCAGATTGAACTCAATTACTGATGCCACACAAACATTAAATCCAACACCAAGTCTGAACAACAGAAGAGAGTGTAACTTTGTTATAAAGAGTCTACCCTTTCATGAAGGTTAAAATCTGAATGCTAAGGTAAACTTAAGCTTGTTGATAAGTGACCTTAGGGGAATCAAATCAATAACTGTTCTAAAAACTTGAAGAAATTCAAGTGATGGAAGTGATGGTATTGTAATCGCTACTGAAGAAAGGAAAACTATTTTGAATGCTTAACGTATATTTAAAGATTCAGAACAATACAATAAAGAGTTCATCTATTAAGACCAGACAACAGAGGAGAGAACTATCAATTGAATTTGAACTGTTAACGTGTTACGAGATAATGGTTGTAATATCTCAGTCCATGGAAAACGTGTTGTCGAGGAAGACCGTAGATCCTACAGAGGTTCCCATGGTGGAAATTCACGATATCGCACCAATAGAAATAATAGTGATTATAAATAAAGTGACAGACAAGATCCTTTTTCAGGTTACCCGCGCAAAAATCATTTGAGTAATACATACTCCCAAAATTATACAAATGCGAGACACTCTTTTTTTCAGATGACGAAAATCATCATAATGGCCATAATAGAGACTCTCAGAATTCTTCGTCAGCACGTTCCAGTTTTTATGACAGATCAAGAAGTTACCGAAACAGTCGATGCTACAGAGATGGTCATTATTAGGCTAAGTATGGATTCTGGAATGTGCGTGGGTAGAGTTCATGTAATAATTCAAAAAGTCACATTCTTAGTCAAAATTGTATAACATATCTTGATTTTGATATAAATAGAATTGCTGAAACTCACCTTTTAGGAAGTACAAGTATTTTTTGTTGGAAATTATACAATTTTTAAATCACAATAGAAAGCATATTCATAGAAATGCCAAGCATGGCTCTGGTGGTGTAGGATTTTTTGTAAGAAATAATCTTTTGTCTGAATTTAATGTGAAAGTAGTAAATAATTCTATTGCTGGAATTTTATGGTTAGAATTTAAACATAAGGTAGGGGATTTCTTTTATATATATACTTGTGTTTGTTACCTTCCACATGAAAACTCGTCCCGATATTCTGATTGTGTCACATTTTTAATGATTTGTTGCAAATATTTATGCATATCAAAATAAAGGTTTTTGTTTGTATGCGGCGGTTTTAACAGCTGCTGTGATGATTTTATGGCTGGAATTGATAATATTGAACCATGAAATATTGTTGATTTTAATACAAACTCATACGGGGACCATCTAATACAGTTTATCTTTTATAGTTATATGTGTATTCTGAATGGAAGAAATTATACTGTAAATGATTTTACATCTGTATCTGTAAAAGGATGCTCCGTAGTTGATAATTGTCTTGTAAGCCACGCGAGCCTTAAGCATTTTACTGATTTTAATGTTATTAGATCTTTTAATAGAATAGATGTTAGAATTTTTTCCTAGAAATATACCAGATCATTCTGTGTTAAATTGGAATATGAATATTTATATCGGATTGCAGTCTTTTCCCAGTTCGGTTAATCAGGAAACCCATGCTCAGGGATAGGATAAGTTTGATTTAATAAAGCATCCCTGACTGCTTTTTGTCCAGTTATAATGTTATGGGAAAAATCAATTTGGTTATTGAAAAACTTGAGCAGGGACTAAGATTGCAATCTGACTTTGATATTGCTTATGATGAATGGTGTAAAATTTTCAAATCTCAAATGTATAAGAAACTAAATTATAAAACTATTTATCCAAATGAAACTATAAAGCTGTCCAGTAGAAAACGTAAACCATGGTGGAATCAAGAGTTAACTGATATTTTGAAAAGTTTACATGCAGCAGAACACATGTGGTTAAGATGTAATGATCGAGCTATTCAATCTACACCTAAGCAGGAATACTCTGTTTTACGTAAAACTTTTGATAGAAAGGTAGACTACAGCATTATAAGAGAGCTCATGTCATGTCTGTAAAGGATGATATTTTATCAGACTTGCAGAATAATGATAACCAGTTTTGGGAAACTATTGGTTAAAATAGTATTGGTTCATATCGTAATAAATGTATTCCTATGCAGATGGTTGTGTATCTAATGATGTTAAATGTATTTTGCACAAATGGAAAACTGATTTCAGTTCACTACTTAAAAACATAAATCTGAACTTTTGATGCTCCGAGTTTTAACACACACTCAGTAAGTAATGATTTAGATGCTAATATAAGCATTCTTGAAGTTATCAGAGCTGTAGAAAAAGCTAAATTAGGAAAGATATCCAGAACTGACTGTATCCCAACAGAAGTTTTGAAAAATGATGCTTCTTTGATTGCCTTTAATAGTATTTTTAACGTAT